TGTGCTCTTCCGATCTGTTAGAATGCTTTCGAATATTTTATTAATCTATATGAATACATTATACATATATCAAAAATACTTATTTATTAGATAAGAATAATTGGTCGCGCGGGAGATGTAAATGAAGCAAATAAAATAGGCGATTGATTCGAAATTGAACCATTGTTGATTCAAAATTCTCGAACTATTCGTTTTCGAATTTTATAGATTCGAAAACGAACTCGAATCTACTGTGATTCGATTCGATTCGATTCGAATTCGAACTATTCGCACACCTCTAAAAAATAAAGAAGTTCTTTATGGGATGGCAGTCCTTTCGAGATCCCGTTAGGAAGGCAATCCTGGAACGGCGAATTGAGCCGAAAGGACGCAAATCTAACTGGATGTCCATAGAGGAGGGTGTACGTCGCATAAGAAACAAACTCTTCGCATTCCACGGTGAGATTGGTGCGATTTACCAACTGATGCAAGACACGTATTTGGAGGAGGAGAAGTGCGGTTTGACCGAGATCGATTTCCTAAATGTCTTATATCCGCTTCTCGTGATCCAAAAGCAATCACCTTACTCGGAGATAATAAAAACTGGGTAAATATAGTACCTTGAGTTATCTTCGTGTGTGTATATAGACACGAAGTTTCCAAATCTATAGATTAAATTTCGACATAAACTTCCTTGAAGGTCAAAATCTAACATATAAAAAAAATATGTGTACACGAATCAATAATCATTTCGTGATACAATAATTCTCGGAACGGCACTCAAGAATTATGTTTTCAGAGCTCTAAGATTACGAGAATATGGACTCAAATATCGCGAGGAGTATCGCTTGTACACGAAAAAACCAGTGTGCACGAGTCAGACCAGCTTTATCACTATCGGATTCACAGAATGTCGCTTCGCGCTGGTCATAATGGGCTACGGAATACTTTTCTCAGTAATCGTATTGGCGTTCGAGTTATTGTGGCATAAGAAGTAAGATTTAAGAGAGTGATTTATTTATCATATATGCTTTGCGCTATTCATTATATTTGCTTTTGTAGGCAAACTGTGCACGCGATAAAAGAAATGTCAAACGTAGGAATCAACGTTGTAGAATGATAAATGCCTACAGAAATGTATATTAATCTGAAGGAAATTAAATGACTTCTGACTTTCTTAAGAGTTTTGCTGCACTAAATGTCTATAACTAAATTGTGAAATTTATT